AGGTGCAGATCAAGTCCAGAAACATCGATCCTACTTGATCGAGTTTTTTATAATCGATCCACAAATGATCGAGTTGCTAACCCTCGATCAATAACTTGATCGAGTTTTTAAACGTCGATCTGGCCTGTAATTCGAGTTTAGAAAACTCGAACCATGATATTTTGGAAAATTCTTTTAAAAGTTAAGTATTATAGGAATTATTTTTAATTTATACAGTATTTTGGAAAAATTCCACCAAAGCATCAATCAACAGAAATTACTAAAGATCAAATGTTGTATGGAATTTAAGATTCTACACATACAGTTGGGTCATTTCTACTAGTCTCTTTCCAAATCAAAGAACATAGTGGAATCCGTACCGTACCAGGAGTCGTCTCTCTCTTTGAGAGAACAGTTCTTCACTTTAACTTCCAACAGAAAACATATCCCCTCGCCCAACCATCCCACCGACCGATGTTTATGTGTCAATTGAGATTGAACCATTCTTAGTACTTCTACTACTGCTACTGTTCTTTTACATGGAATGGAACAGATCTCTCTATGCTCAAGCTCAAATAGCCACCGTCCACGTGGAGCCCCGCGAACCCGATACCGAGGCGTGGTGTGACGTGTCAATTTTGGAATGGAAAGTGCAGGGTTGTACGTGTCATGATGTGGTACGCCGCCGTGCTCCAGATTTCTGTCAGTACGACTCGACTCTTCATGGAATATATCAATGGGAGAATTTGTTTTTGGGAGGAAAGTATTTCTTGGCACCATTTTCCTCCTGCATTATTGTTTCCGGGACTCAATACGTGTCGAGCTTACAGAGGTTTATATTATTCCCTATTTCCTCCATTTTCAGCTTATCCAGAGTTTTTTTTTTTGGCATAGATAGAGGACATAATAGATATTACAGGACACTTGACAACCACTGGCGACAGTCGACAAAAAGCCGAACTGTCGATGAAAGGGCATTAGAAGCCACTAAATGGGCAGCCCTGTTGTACAATCTCGGGGTAAAATTACAATAAAAGAAATTAAACAACGTGACCGCCGAACAAATCTCCTCCAAGATTGCACCACCAGTTCCATGAGCCACATCCCTCGACCGAATCCTGCGAATCAAAGACTGACAGTCGCCACAGAAATTGACCGAACCAAATCCATGCATGACACACCAATTAATTGCATCACGGAAAGCTAAAAGTTCCGCTACAAAAGGATCAGACACACGTGGATAGTAGCGGCCAAAAGCAAAAAGAACCTGGCCGGATTGAGTGAAACCAACAAACCCTACACCGCCACCCACCTCTTTCTACCAAGCCCCATCGAAACGAACCAGGACCCCATCGGCCGGACACACCCCACCCGGCATCGAATTGGCAGACCCCTGTCCCGGACGCCCCCGAGAGCTAGAAGCCACTCCTCCAGCCCTGTGTAAAGTCAATGGCACGGACGCATGCTGCCATTCCTCCACCTGTGCACGATACTGACGAAACAAGGGCTCCCCCAAGTATTGAGTGCCCTTATGTACAGCCCAAAAACGGGATTTCCACACTCACCAACAAAGGAAGACGACATCAGCAATCACTGACTTGGATAAATGACAATCAAAAAATAATTCATTCCAACACACCGCAGGTGATAACCCATCTAACCTCCTTCGCAGATCGCCCAATCCAGCCAGATCCCATAGCTCCACGGCCACCCGACATTTGAGGAAGGAATGCGAGATAGTCTCTGCCCCGTCCGAACACACCGGACATACATTCTTTGTAACCAGCCGTTTGATTTGAAGCACAGCTCGCACTGGGAGGAAGCCCCTAACTACTCGCCACCAAAAAAACTTCAGTTTGGGCGGCAGAGGTAGACTCCACAACACTTTCCAGAACCTGCAGTCATAAGGTAAAGGAGCCGGGGGTGAGCAGCCAGCAGTTCATCAGAGAGGACATGATAACCGGTTTTCACAGTGTACTCGCCAGTCGGAGAATAATGCCAAATGAGTTTGTCTTGAGAGGCCTGCATCGATAAAGGAATGGAAAGAATTAAATTCACAGACGCTGGCACAAACAAGCTAGTCAACAGCTCGACATTCCAGGAACGTGAAAAAGGACAGATGAGAGCTGAAACATAAACAGGGCAAGAATTAATATGCAGCAGCAACACTGGCATCGACGGCGGGTCCGAGGGGAGCCAGTTATCGGCTATAATTTGAACAGTAGCCCCATCCCCAATCCGCCAACGAAGCCCGCGCAAGAGAAGGTCCCTCCCAGCTAGAATGCCCTGCCACGCCCAGGATGGTCTTGGGCCCGAGGTTGCCTCCAGAAATGAAGAATGAGGGTGATACCTCGCAAGATATAGAGCCGCCAACGTGGAGTCCGGATTCATAAGCACACGCCAGGCTTGCTTCGCCAACAGCGCAACGTTGAACCGTTCAAAGTCGCGGAACCCTAGTCCCCCTGCAAATTTACTGAGACAAACTTCCTGCCAAGACAACCAATGGATCCCATCTTCTTTATCCTGATCAGCCCACCAAAATCTTGACAACTGTCCATTTAACCTGCGACAAGTGAAGGAGGGTAATCTAAAAGCAGACATAGTATAGATGGATGAGGCTGAACCGATGGACTTAATCATCGTTTCCTTCGCAGCCAAGGACATGGCTTTCGTTTTCCAAGATCTGATCCTGGCTGCTAGGCCCTCCTCAACAAATCGAAAGGTCTGAGTCTTAGACCGCTGCACATGAATGGGCAACCCTAGGTACTTGTCAACCGAACCCGAAGCAGCCACCCCCAGAAAGGCTCCCAAGGCAATTCGTTCCTGATCTGCAACATTAGAGCTAACACACAAAGAAGACTTAGCTAGATTAACTCTTTGGCCACTCACCCTCTCCAACTCCTCAAGCACAGACAATAAGTTAGCACATTCTGGTAAAGAGGCTCTCAAGAACAGGTAAGTATCATCAGCAAACAAAAGGTGGGAAGTCAAGGGCGCATGCCGATGAACCCGCAATCCATGTAAATTTGCAGCCATGATCTCACTAGACAATTTGGCCGAAAAAGCCTCCGAGTAAATAGCATAGAGAAGGGGCGAAAGAGGGTCACCTTGACGAAGTCCCCGTTGTGGTTTAAAATACCCGTGAGCATGGCCATTAATTAAAACCGAGAAGGAGACAGTAGAAATACAGGCAGAAATCCAGCGCCGCCATTCATAACAGAACCCCATCTGCTCCATAATCAGCAAAAAGAACGCCCACTCCACGCGGTCATAAGCTTTTTTCATATCCAGCTTGAGCGCCATCCACTTGTCTCGACCCTGTACTTTAGTTTTCAGAAATTGCATAACTTCTTGACCAATCAGGATATTATCAGTAATCAACCTACCACGAACAAAACCATTTTGAGAACTGCTCACAACATAAGGTAGGACCATACTGAGCCTAGCCGCCATGATCTTGGCAATGATTTTATAAAATACCTGACACAAACCTATGGGTCGGATTTGTCGCATTGATTCAGCATTCACAACCTTCCGCAGAAGGGAAATGAGCGTGTGATTAAAGCTGTGTAAGAGCCGTCCCGAGGTAAAGAAGCTTAGGACCGCCTCCGTGATCAGTTGCCCCACCACCTCCCAATGAACTTGGAAAAAGGCTGCTGTGAACCCGTCTGACCCGGGGGCCTGATGACTGCCAATCCGGAACACTGCCTCCTTGACCTCCAACACCGACACAGGAGCTATCAACGCAGCATTCATCTCCTGCGTGACCCTGCTGGCAATGCCCAAAGAATCCACATATGCCGAGGCATCTACACTGTTAGATGTGAAAATGGATTGATAGTATGGAATAGCTATACCTGCCATGGCCTCTTCCTCATGCTGCAAGGCGCCGGCCTCATCCCGTAACCCACGCAACCGATTGAAGTGCCTCCGTTGCATCACCGTGCGATGAAAAAGATTGGTGTTAGCATCCCCTTCCCGGAGCCAGCCCACCCTCGATTTCTGTCTCCAGAAGCATTCCTCTTCAATGTAGGCATTCGACAGATCCCGCTCTAACTGCCGAATGGCATCCCAATCCACCAAAGTATCCTCACGCAAGTCTTCAATTGCCAGCTTGAGCTCCCTGATACGCCGAGCCGAATTCGACGTCCCCAATCTCGCCCATTCCACCAGGTCATGCCTGACCATTTTGAGCTGGTTAAAAGCCCTGAACTGAACAGTCCCATGCGTGGGTTTACTCCAAGCCAACTGAATTACCGCCAAGGCCTCCGAATTAGAGTTCCATCTCCCATCAAACTGGAACCTGGTATGTCTGTGATGTCCCTGCGACGTGAGCTGCACAAGGAGCATCCTATGGTCAGAGCCCAAATCAGTTAAGTGGATTACCTTTAAGTCCGGCCATTCTGCCATTGCCGAGGAACTCCCAAGACACCTATCCAACCGCTCAAGGATGTGTTCCCCACCCGCACGTCGATTCGACCATGTATAAGGGGATCCTTGATAACCTAGATCAACCAAACCAGTAGACAAGATAAACCCATTAAGCTGATCTAAGGCAGAAAATGTAAGCTCATTCCCCCCCATCTTTTCATCAGAAGACAATAAGCAGTTAAAATCTCCCACCACAAACGAGGGCACAGACACCGACGAGAGTAAATAGACAATTTCATTCAACTGACCCTAACGAACAGCAGCTTCACAGGATAAATGGACAAACACAATGACTAAAGTCCCGACAGCTGGGACAACACACTCTACAAAACAATGGAATGACGAAAGCTGATGAACTATACACGACACATGATCACCCCAGCCTACAGCCAAACCACCAGACCCATTAGTCGCACTAAAGCATCTAACTGAATTGAAGCCCAACCTAGCCAATTTGGCTTTGACAAACTCATCTTCCCTTTTTGTTTCGCTAAGGAAGACCAGGCTAGGTGAGAACCTCGCTACGGCTCCACCAAGAGAGGGAACTGTCAAGGGGGAGCCCATCCCTCGGCAATTCCACACCATAAAACTCATGGGAGGGGTTGGGCCCAATCCCGACTGGATGCCACCGCCTTGTCAAGTGTAGAAGAATCTGCCGCCGCCGACCCAGACCGAGCTCTTTTGGCCGCTGGGGATGACGAGTTGGGAACAGTCCCATCTGAACTAGTATTGCCTTCTGGAAATTGTGCTGATGAAGTCTCACTATGACCTGGATTCCACGGAGAGATGGCAAGAGAATGGAAATTCGCCCCCATCCGACGTGGAGAGGGCCGCCGAGTATCCCGCCATTCCTCAGTAGCACCTTCCTCCTGGGTCAACAGCATCGGGGATGGAACTGACCGCTGAGGAGGTTCCTTGAACGTGCCTCTTGTCCTTGCTGACTCTGGGCGATGCTTGGCTGCTCTGATCCAAGTAAACCGCCGGCTTCGCTTTGAGAGAGTGTCCTCTGTCACAGGTGACCCTGATTCGGTGGCAACGGAGAACACTCCATACTTTGGGGTAACACCGACGAACGCCTCCTTCCTTGGGCAGTTCTCACCAATATGTCCAATGACACCACACAGGAAACAAAAGTGAGGCACCTTTTCCATTTTAATCGAAGCGACAAAATTACCTCGAGACTGATCGACATGCCCAGCAGTAATGGTATCTGGCAGCGGAGCCGTGAGGTCCAGGACAGGAACCGCTCGAACATACAGCCCACCCGAAACATCCGACCGATGAAGCGTGGGGGGATCATGAAGTTCCCCAAGCGAGGAGCCCAACCGCCAGGCGATTTTCTCAGTGAAACATCCGAAAGGGACCTTCCGGATCTGCAACGCCATCGGAGCCCAGCGTAAACGGTCAGCCACCGCTGGGGTTGGGTCCTCCCACCGTGCCAGCACCACCATGAAATTGTCGAATATCCAGGGGGATTTGGTAACCGCCTTGTGCAGGTCAGTCTTCTGCGAAAAGAGGAATTGAGTTAACCCCTCCTCGACGGCGGAGATTGTGAGATCCCCTTTGTACCTCCACACTCGACCCAGCATCATCCGCAGAGCATAGAGCGGCGGTGGCGAGCCAATCAGACGGCCGATCAGGGAAAGCTCCCCTCGCGCAAGCCCGGCCGCCAAATCTTCGTCGTCGAACTGAACAACCGCCATGGAAGAGGAACACCAAAACAAAGAGCCAACAGCCAAGAGGGGGTAAGTAATTTCAATCCACATACTACCACCCCCCGTCGGCCAACGATTTATAGCCATGCAGACCCGGAAAGCCAGGCCCTGTCGCCGCACAACGGCGGGAAGCCCGACGGGCATGAGCGCACGACGGCGGTTTTCAACCCTCTCCACCGAAAAGGGAGAGCACGATCGCAAGAGGGGGTTTTTTTTTCCCTTCCCTCCTTTATCCAGAGTTAGTGGTGGTTTGGATACAACATTTTTAAAATGAGGCAATTTAGCACAAAAATCTTATTTTAGAAACTGAACTAATTGTACGAGGAAATGTTTATATAATTGTCTTGTTTGGCTTGTGATTTGGCATGAGACAATTGTGATGAGACATTTTATGAAAATACATATTTGCCCTCATTCTTTTACCCTTCTCTATCTTGGGAAAGGAAGAAAGAAAAAAGAAAGTAAATAAAAGGGGGTGAGATTGGAAAAAGTGACCCACAAAATGGAGCAATGTAGATTACCTCCCTCCCACCCAAGTAATTGATATTGACCCATACTAAAGCAATTCAATTGTCTCATGTCCAATTGTCTCATTCCTACTTTTTGCAGCCAAATGGGATAATTTGGCCCAATTGTCTCATTTTGAGTCAATTGAGGCACATTGACTCATCACTTTGATCCATCCAAACGACTCCATTTATTATAAAATGATTGGTTTGACAACAGAATTAAAAGAAGGTATCTATAAATGATTGTCCTCACAAGAATCATTTGCAAATGACGGACGACCCTTCTTCAATCATTTACATATTACTCCTTTTTTCATCATTATTTTTCAATCTTTTTCATATACTCAATACTAATCATTCTCTATTTTGTCTTTCTAAATTCAATATTTTTCAATTTTTCATTAATACTGTGACGTAGGGGGTGGGCAACGGGAAACGGGTATTTGGGTATACCCGTACCCGTCCCGTTTTTTTAGGGTTACGGGTACTCATATTATCCGTAATATTATAAATGGATGGGACTTGAGATTGTACATTCCTAATATGGGTACTCGCGGGTTACCCGCGAATACCCGTTTGGGGAATATGGGTACCCATTATACCCATTCAATACAAAGGCAGAAATTTTTGTTTGTAGCTTTTTATTGTTAAAGACTATATGCCCCATGAATCATATATGCCCACCGCCTCTATATGCCCACTTTTACTCATAACTATTCTCTCTGCTGCATTGTTGAAAAGAGGTCCTTTGTAGATTCTGTTGTGCAACACTAGCTTGTATCTCGTATCAATGTTCAGGGCTTAACCTTTTGGCAAAATACAGCTGTATATCCACAACTATCAGATTTGTGACAAATATATCCACAACTATCGAAGTACACCGAAATATCCATTTCCATCCACTCCATTAACTCCGTCAGTTAACTTGATGACTGGATAGACCGTGGATCTTAGTTGGCGTGCTTCTGATCCTACTAAATGACATGGATTAAAAGAGAAAAAATAGGCAAAATACAGTTGTATATCCACAACTATCAGGTTTGTGATAAATGTATCCACAACTATCGAAATACACGAAATATCCAAAAATCGAAAGGTTGTGTGACAAATCTATCCACTTTCATCTGAAACTATAACGGCGTGTCAGACGTCGTTAAATTGACTAACGGAATGTTGAATCGATGTCATCTCACCTGCCACATAAGCCAAAAAGCAACCAAACTTTACACCGTTATCTGTTAGACTTCGCTGCTGCAGTCTTCTTTGCTGGCAATTTTGTTAGATTCAAACTTTTTTGTTTGAGATTCAAGCTTGGTATCACCATGGCGCCGCCTGCATGGAAGCCGTCGGAGTAAAAGGGAGGCAATGGTTGGTGATTGTGGTTGGAATCGAAACTTGGGCTTGGGGTAGAGTTATTTGGGGGTGGAGGCGTCGATTGGAGGAGGATCAGTGGTTATCGGCGTGTTTCTGTGTTGGATTTTTAGTGTCGCCATCTGTGGTTTTTAGGGGTTTTTTTTAAATTCTCTTTTAATCCATATCATTCAGTGGGGTCAGAAACACGCCAACTAAGCATCCACCTTATGTCCGGTCATCAAGTTAACTGACGGAGTTAACGAAGTGGACGAAAATGGATATTTCGTGTATTTCGATAGTTGTGGATATATTTGTCACAAACCTTATAGTTGTGGATATACAACTATATTTGGCCTTTATTCAACTAGCCTATTTGGCATCTACGTGTAGTGTTTGGTTGCTTTTTGGCTTATGTGGCAGGGCAGGTGAGATGGCATCGATTCAGCATTCGGTTAGTCAATTTAATGCCGTCTGACACGCCTTTATAGTTTCAGACAGAAGTGGAAAGATTTGTCACACAACCTTCCGAATTTTGGATATTTCGTGTATTTCGATAGTTGTGGATATATTTGTCACAAACCTGATAGTTGTGGATATACAACAGTATTTTGCCTAACCTTTTTGCTACTAACTATTCTTCTTTGCAGGACAGCAGTACGACAGCAGGTGCAGGACAGCAACTTGCAGTTGCAAAAGGGAGAACAACAGCAGCAGCCTGGAGAAGACAGAACTGCAACAACAACAACTTGCAGAAAGTTTCTTTTGTATGCTATAGATTTTAGCTTCCCATGAACCTAAAAATTTGGACACTTTCTGCATTCAGCAACACAAGAAAAGTAGCAGCATGCCTCCCATTTGGTTGTGTTGAATGAAACTTCTTATTTGATAATTTGGGGCTTGGAATGATTTATTTCTATGTGTTGTGATTGTTCATGAATGTGTAATTTGCAAATCAAGTATTTGTGATTGGGATGTATTTTGTGTCTTGTGATTGTTAAGCAAATACAAGTTAAGTTTAAACTATTGTAAAAATTTTAGTGGTTTAAACTTTGGGTATTTATGGGTAGTATGGGTACCCGTTATCCGTCTCGTACGGGTAATGGGTACCTGTTTCCCATATGGGTTTGGGATATGGGATGGACTTTGGTCTCCAAATGGGACTGGGTACCCGTTTAAAACGGGACGGTTATCCCGTCCCGTCCCGTTGCCCAACCCTACTGTGATGATTTTTAGTAAAATAGTTGTTATTATTTTGTAGACCGGTTTCAAATATAGATTACGTTTGATTGTAAAATGACACTAGCGTGGGCCCCGACCATTTGGCCGGAGGAAGGTAAGTTATGAAATTTGATAATGTAATGGGGTGTATAGCTTATTATTGTATAGTTTCTTTTTTGGAAACATGTGATAAAAATAGTGAATTTTAGTAGGAAAGAGACATGAATGATGAAACGAATCAAAAATCAGCCTTACGAACCAAAATCAAGTACCTGTTACCTTGTGAAACAATATTGTTTCTGGTAATATGATGAGGTGGAGTAAGCTTTATACAAAATCGAATTCCAGAAAATCGAATAAAAAATTGCATATCCCGCCGGTTTTCGGGAAATGAGCATCTCACAATCGTTGCTAGCTTTTACTCGGCCCGTTGGCCGATTAATTTGCTTTATAAAACTTTCATCTTGTCATCATTGTGCTTTCTGGTTTTTTGCCAAGCCATGATAAAATCTAAAGAAATCAAGAATGAACATCACGATTTGGGATATGAACCACTGTTCCTGTATCCCTAGAAAATGGTGGTAAACACAGACTCACCTGCCAAACTGGTTTGGATTGTTATTTTTATCGGGTATGAGTGAATCATCTGATTATAAATTATACTTAATCATAATGGGCCAAAACTTGAAATTCAGCCTGTTTGACCGACCCATGCCAAACTCTAATTATTCTTTACTTTTAATCTTTCTATTTGAAAATAAAAAATAATGAAAGAAAAGAGATGACTGCAATTCGCCATTTGCAGATCACTGATTCGGGAATAAAACTATAGTATTTCGAAAGGAAACTTAAAATGTTTAGGATCGTTTTAATGTTAAAAATAACCAAATAGATCTTTCTGTTTAGTTTTTTACTAACAAATACCAAATGATTCCCTATAATATACACTATTATTTAATTATTATGATATCAAATAATTACATAATATATATTTGAAATGATAAAAATTGGAGTAATTGGGTTGGTCGAGGTTGAACCATTGAATAACTTTAAAATACATTATATTTTAGCCACTAAGATATAAAATAATAGCATAATATATATTATGCTAGAGAAAATAGCTTGTTTTAGAATGGCAAACCCATTATGTTCATTTGTTTTATTTGATGGCAAATCCCGTGTAGGTCAAGACCATTCAACTCTTTTATTTTATGATTAGCGGTTAGCCTATTAGAATCCATGCATTAGTTTATTGTTAAATTTTTTCTTTTTAGCAATAAAAAGGAGTATTGTTTTTGCCTTTTCATATATATTTTACCACCACGAAGAAATAAAAGGACTTAAAGAAAAAAATTGACACTCTTGGACCCGTTTAAATCCGCATGTGAACGGTAAGTTGGCCCGTTCCACAGAGGAAAAAGAAAAAAATTGACACTCCCTATTCTACCCTTCCTACAAACGCTCATGGAGCAGGGAATTTGAAATGGGGGATGGTTTTTTCCTCTCTGCGATTTTATGTTTTTAATTTAAAAAGATACAACAAATGTACTTAGTGTGATTGGTTATGATCTTTGCTTTTCTTTAAAGTGGTCATAGTTCGTATCCTAGTAAGTGTCTTTTTAATGAATAAAAAAAAGTAATTGTAAAGACTAAAATGTCCTTCCTACGTTCACTCTAGATGCAGGAAATTTGAAATGGGACTTCAACTTTTCACATTTGGCTTTTATTTATTGTGTAGATTTTTTGAAACCGTTACCATTGTTAATGTGTGTGAAATTTTTTTTATTTATAGATTTTTATTTTTATATAGATTAACTATATAATATGCTTAAATAAATCATCGATATTGAGAATCATGAGAATACAAACACAAGATCTATCAAACAACATATTATACCTTCCCTAAAC